ATCTCTCACAAATGTGAACACAGGTCCTGAACATGCAGCTTGGACAGACCTCAAGAAGGAGCCTGTTGCTGAATATTTATTAAATTCTATAGGGCTTTTCTATTACCCAGCTAGTTCCCCAGTAATTGAGACAGAGACCTACTGATTATTTCAGCAAGCCTTACACACAATATCTGGGCAGTACAATTTAAAATAATTCCTAAGGTAGTCTGGCTACCTCTCAGCTGCACTCCCCAAGTTACTTGCCAATCTTCACCCTATCTGAGCTGGATCTGCTCCATCAAGCTATGCCCTCTCTCTACATCTTTTTTCTTTCTCCTCTCTCCTTCCTTCCTCCATGCCTCATGGTCCCTACCTGAGACCCAAGCTCAGGAACTGAAGCTCTGCCTATTTCTCTTCTGCCCAATTACAGGCAGTCCAACCTCTTTATTAACCAATCAGTAATATCGGGGAGTAAAGTTCACACAGCATCTTTCTGCATTTGTGAAAACGTACTTGCCTGGACTGCAGCCAGATCTTGGAGGACAGCATTTCGCATTTGTATACATAGAACCAGACCAACCCCCAACAGGAGCTGCTCACCCCTCCTCTGCCCACGTGAGCTTCACTCCAGCTTAAATTTCCAACATTGTCACCTAAGTCAGCCCTTCACAAAAAATATGAGAGCATCGTCCTGAGGAAAAAAAATGTTTTAAACTAAAACTCGGAGTTGGGGAGCTGGCTCAGTAGTTAAGAGTACATTGCTGGAAGGGGAGGATGAATCCTACAAGTTGTCCTGTGACCTCCACCTATGCACCATGGTAATGCACACCCTCCTCCCACACATTCACACAAAATAAGTAAAAATACGTAATCAAAAACAAAACAAAACAGTACACTGCTCATGCAGAGGCCCTGGGCTCAGTTCCCAGCACCCTAACCAGGTGACTCATGATTCTGGGATGAGTTACTGCTCTCTGCTGGCCTCCAGGGGCCCCCACAGAAACATGATACTCAGAAACCCACAAAGGTACGCAGTCATGCACATAAATCCTAAAAATGAACCTGAAGCTCATTAAAGGCATCAACTCATCGATGAATATTTCAAAGGAAGTCACTGAGCCCTTCTCCGGCTGCCACTGACCGTGTAACAGTGAGTTCAGGAAAAGGTCTCTCTCTCTCTCTCTCTCCCTCCTTCCCTCCATGCCCCTCCTCGCACAGCCCAAACTGGCTTTCCTGACGCTCCTGCCATTACCTCCTGAGGGCTGGCATCACCTGTGTCCAGTGCTCATCACCATCCACAACAGAAGAGCAGTGCCCTTAAGCACCTGCTTCACTCTTTCCCCCACTCAGGTCATCACTGAGCCGTCTCACAGGCCCTAAGTAGGTCAGCAACAGTTTCCTTAACTACTTCCTGGTAGCAGGCCCATGTGTGCCCACCAAACCCATGCAGGGGCTGTGTCACACAGTTCTCGGCTGCTGCACTGTTTGTTTGGGTATTTTTTTCCATAACTCTCACACTCCTGTAAAGACATCTTATGTGAGGGAGGTCTGATTTGATCTCTTTTGTATTCTTTAAAAATTCAATAGTATTTTAAATTTTCTACATTTACTTATTCTTTGTAGAGGTGGCAGTATAATGTCAAAGTGAGGGTAATGGCTGAGGGACGTTCTATGCGAGCTGGCTTTCCCCTTCCACCACGTGAATCCTAGGAACTGAACTCAGGTCTTCAGGTTTTGCAGTAAGTGAGTTTATCTGATGAGCCATTTCGCCAGGCCTTCTTTTAACTTTTATATTACATTTATTTGTTTGTTTGTGGGGAGAGTATGTGTACCACAGGGTAAAGTTTAGGGGATAACTTGTGGAAGTCAGTTCTTCCCTTCAATGGAAGGATTCTAAGGATCCAAATCAGGGTCTCGAGGAGTGCCTTTACCCACTAAGCTAAGTCATCAACCCTCAGTTGTTGATTTTTAAAGGGAATAAGGTTATTGTTTCAACCTTCCTGATGCTTTTACCCTTCAATACAGCCCATCATGTTGTGGTGACCCCCAACCATGAAATTATTCGCTTCATAACTGCATTTTTGCTACTGTTATTAATCATAATATAAATATCTGATATGCCAGATATCTGATATACAACTCTCCAAGGGTTCATGACTCACAGGTTGGAGAACCACTGATCTAAAGTTTTAACAATGTCAATTTTTTGTTTTGTTTTTTGTTTTTTGTTTTTTTTGTTTTGTTTTAAATAAATGGCCCAAAAAGGGCTAGCAAGATGTCTCAGTGGGTAAAGCAGCTGTCCTTGTAAGCCTGGTGATCTGAGTTCACCAGGAAGCCCGTAGAGGTGAAAGGAGAGGATCGGCTCTATGCAGCTCTGACCTCTGCATGCATGTATTGGCACGCCTCACACATCGTACACACAATAATAGTAATAAGTAATTTAATGGCATAACGAATTAATAATTTTAACGGTATAAAAAGAGAAAAAATATCTTAAGCTGATCACTGATGCCCAGACTGAATGAGCCTCATTCCTGATTAAAGGAAAATAAAATACTTCTACACAAAAAGTAAAATAAATCACTAAAAGCTACTGAGTGACATCATACCTACAAGTCACTCTCTGCACTGCTTAGGATTAAAAATGTCTCATCACGGGAAGGTACTAGAAGTCCTCTACGCCATCCTAAAATTAATCCCTGTTAGGAAACATGAAGGTGTTGGTAATCTTCAAAACTGACACATTAGGCAATGAAATAATTCCTTAGCACACCTGGCATGGCTGTACCTGAAGAATGACTAAATTCTAACAAACAAAGTCTTGAGGCACAGAGTTTGGAGGCACACAATCCAAATGGTACTTGCTAAGTGACTGGCCTTAAAGTAAGCATGGTGAGAACATTAGCATTCTAGAAGCAGAGCTGCTTCAAACAGACACAAAGTTAGTTTGGCTTAAAATTTATGGACCAGTTATTCCGTGCTGTGGCAAAGCATATAAAGACCAAAGAAAGTCATTGCCTTGGCAGCAGCTTTCAAATCCATGTTTCACTGCGGCTACTTCATGGTGAGCAGATCATAAAACTGTATTTAAACCCGACCTTCAAACCTCCAATTGGTTTACTTACAATTAAATCAAAGCTTGGAGATATTTATGGGCTAAAGGATGGGCAAAGGGATAAATGCAGGGTTATGGTTTTATTCAGGGACCTGAAGCTTCAAAACCACCGGGAAATCAGAGCCCCGTGATCTTCATTTGCTCATGCAGGAACAATTCCCAGCACTGAGCATTTTTCCAAGGCTCTTTTCCCTTCTGGCGAGATTGGTGCTGTCACGTGAATCGGAGGCTCATTTTCCCTGGAGGTACTTTAACTCTTTTCTTCCCTCCCTACTACACACCCCGGGAAAGCCTTCTTCCAAATATAGAAACAAGAGAGAAAACTGGCCAAGGCTAGAAGATGTAATGTCTGCAGTTTTACTAACTTAAATAAATAATGTTCCTTGCATGGGTGTCACAGTGATTTTGTATGTGTAATAGTTATTTCAGAATAAAGAGGGTAACATTTTTTCTTTTTTGAGTATACTTGCACCATGACCTTGAGGTATGTGAACCTGGTGTGTAAGTGAGCTCATCTCCCACCTTGCCAGGGGTCCTGATACCTGTGGCTCCGTACCCATCAACTTGAGGCCCCTCTCCCTTATGCAGTGAAACATCTTCTGAACTCCTAAGCACAGTTTTGCTCATGGGCAAACGCAAGCGCCTTGTTAGTGTTCTGTGACATCTCTGAGGGCTGCATTGGGGAAAACAACAAATAGTAGAATTTCTAATAGTAAGGCGGGCTTAGTCTTAGCTAAATAAAACATCCATCTTTTCTTCTTTTCACAGAAGGCTGAGTCCCCCACAGAGAGCCGAGTGATTGAGTTTTACGTCCTGACCTTGTCAGAAGCAAGAATCTGGAAAATCAATTACAGCCCCTGCCCTTAACGTCCCTTCATATGGTATCCTTTAAAAATGTTCCGAAAACCTCTGACTGAGAACAAATATGGAATAAAGAAATTAATAAGTGCTCTCCGTTTAGGCATAACCTCAACGTCCAGAAAAACTTCGCTGTTTCTTTTAAAGAGTTTCGGTAAAATGTGGAGCTTAATACATACTTTTAAAGTTACTTGGGAAGCTGGGAATGGAACATACTAAAAGGCAAGATGGACGAATGTCAGTGGCTGAGGGCAAGATTGGGGTGCGTGGGGTAAGAGCCAAATACACCGAAGATGAGGAGGCAGGACTTCCTGCATTCGTTCGGGTTTGGTTTCTTCTGCCTGTCTCTCTCTACTGAGTCACTCCGTATCTCAAGAATCTCCTGAAAGGAAGAGCTTCTCCCCAACTACTACCATTGCAAAACACGCCAAGCTTCCCCTTCTGTTTCCCTCTCTCTCTGGGCAGGAAGGGAACCGTCCAACCTGAAAAGGTAAAGACTTCATCTGCCGGCAACTGGTGTGAAGTTCAGGGGAAGGTGTGGCCTGCGCTGCACTTTACAAAACCAGGCCAAGGTCACCCGGAGGGGAATTCTGATAGCCCGGGAATCCCCACCCACCCACCCAAGGAAACCTCTAAACTCGAGGGGATATCCCCAACAACCACGGCAGCCACTTTTAGAAACCACTCAGAGCCAAGGACTTCAAGATACGAGATGATTCCCAGCAGGGAAAGAACCAATCCAGGGGCGAGAGGGGCGCGCGCGTTGGGGGGTGGGGAGGGAAGATAACGCCAGAGCCCTCTCCAGCCACCCAGAGAGTACCTGCCTCTCCCACGCGTCCCGCATCATCCCATTCCTCGTCCCCACCCCACCCGAGCCGCGTGGGTGCGTGAAATAGGACGCGGGCTCCAGGAGGCGAGTGCGTATCTAGGGACCCAACGCTCGCGGGTGGCACCAGCTAGTAGCCCTCGCCCCCTCGGGGGACCGGTGAGCAGGTGACCAGGCTCGCCCCGGCTTTGCGCCACCCTGCAGCCCTGGCGGCCGTACCTCGGATGTAGGCGCACTTGCCCTCGTCCAGCTGGCTGGAGGCCGAGCCGCCCATGCTGCACCGGAGGCAGAGGACTGGACACACCGACTGCGCGCCTGCCGCTCGCCGCTGAAGGTGGCCGCGACGGGGAACTGGCTCCGTAATTAAAGGGCCAACTTCCTCGAGAGGCGTCGCCCGCCCGCCCGGGCGCCTCCTCCAGGTCCGCGCCCTCGGAAGATGTGTGGGCTGGACCAGGGGCTGTCTTCCCGCCCCTGCTGGGCTGTTGAGCCCTGGGGGCTGTCCAAGGAACTCCAGGGACTGTCCGAGGTGAAAGGACTTCCCTCCTTCTCCGGGCTGACTTTTCACCGGTTTGGGAACAGCCCAGACACCATCCTGAAGGGAGTGGAGAGAGTGGACCACTTCCAGGTGACTGTCTGCCCGCAGGAAGCTATCCCACCTGGTGGAGGTCAGGGGCCTGATTGCCTTCCTGTTCTCTATCCATCTGTCTGCAAAGCCACCTCTCCCACCCCACCCCACCCCACCCCACCCCCAGGCAATCCCCTTGCTGGGAAGGGGAACTATGGGGGTGGGGGAGACTGATGGGAAAGCGAAAGCAGGGGTGGGGGTGGTGAAAAATAAAGCCTAGAAAATACCTCGGCTAGGTCCCATATTCCCCCAAACCCTGAATCTGCCTAAGACTCAAGGAAGTCTGTCCTTGAGGTTCAAGTCTTCTTACTGTCTGGGAAATGGCCAATAGGAAAGGACATTGGTCCCTTCCCCACAACGGTCTGCAGCTTGGCAGCCTCAGGCACCGTCAGCCTGGGCAGAAGAGTCATAACTTAACCACACCTGAAGGGTACCACAAGGGCCCTCCGTACCTGCTTCTAAAGGTAGTTCACCAGGACTTTCACACGAGTATTTCTCACGGCCCCGCGCACCCTGCATATCAGTTCATCAGGAAGGCCTGTCAAGTCTAATTTCAAAATATGTCCAATGTCCAGCGAATTCTTCCATCCTCCGCCGCCCTCATTTCTCACGCAGAGCATTACAACAGCCTAATTGGTCTCCTTGCTTCAAAGAAAAAAGCCAAGGGTCTATTGTAGCCTCGGGGGGTAGGGCGGGGGCCTCCTCTCCTATCTCAACTACCAGCATTTTTGTCCTTGCTTGCCAGCTTCCAGCCCCTCTCACACTGTGTGTGGGAGGTGCCAAGGAGAACCACTTGTGTTAGGCTCTGGATGCCTCAGTCCATTCAAGTCAACCCTTAAACGCTAAGATCTCAGGGCTAGTGAGCAGAGTGCTGGCAGAGCACTCTGGAAGCACCGGGTCTGAGTCTCTGCACCTCACAAACAAAGCACGGGTGCAAGCCTGTAATTCCAGCACTCTGGGAGTTGGAGGCCAGCCTGGGCTGCAGGAAACCCTGTATCAAAAAAGGAGGGGGGGGGGGGGAAACAAAACAGAAAGAAAGAAAAGCTAGTATCTCAGAGTCTTCTCTTGAGCCCTCCCTAAACATCAGCCATATCTCTTTTCTCCTTGTTTTTCTGTTTCTATTCTTAACATATAATCCTGCCTCTACTTGTTCAGTTGTCTGTGTTTCTCCACTGGAACACTGAGGTAAGAGCTTTGTAGGGTGAGGGTGAGGCATTCTCTGTTGTTGATGCTGCTGTTCTCCTGGGATTTTTTTATTTTGTTTGTTTGTTTGTTTTTAATATTTGTTTTCTTGTTCTTCCTCCCCTCACTCTCTGTCTTCCCATCCTTACATTCCTCCCCCTCTCTCCCTCCCCACCCCTTCTTTCTCTCTGTTCTCCTCATTGATGCATCCCAAATGCCTATACTGGTGCCTGGCATACAGTGGGTGCTCAATACCTAGCCACTGAATAAGTAAATGGATGAAACAAAAGGTTTAAAGGGCCAGGCAGCGGTGGTGCACACCTTTAATCTTGCAGAGGCAGAGGATCTCTTAGTTTGCGGAATGAGTTCCAGGGCGGCCAGGGCTTCTCAGAAAAAACCCTGTCTCAAAACAACGGCAACAACAACCAACAAACACTTTCCCTCAGTGAAAGCTGTGGGCTCAGTGAGTATAGAGTGTTTCTGGGTAACCGCTCAATGATTTAAACCACTCAGTGTTCGACTCTTCTGTCAGAATTATTGCTGCTGGGGCTGAAGAGATGTCAGAAGTAAGAACACACTGGTTACTGGGGCAGAGGACCCAGGTTCAATTCTCAGCCTCCTCATGACAGCTCACACCCATTTATAACTCCAGTTCCAGGGAACCCAATGCTTTCTTCTGCCCTCCTCTGGCACCTCCTGCATGTGGTAGACAGACAGACCTGTAGACAAAACACCTATATACATAAAATAAAATCTTTTACTAATGCCTGTCTGGCTCTTGTAGTATGTTTTGTTTTGTTTTGTTTTTTTCTGAGTAGTACTAATTTCTTCCATTTCATAACTTGATCTAATTGCACCTCATAATTTCTGTTCCTGTTGTTGAGGAAAACAGATTTGGGTCTCCTGCCAAAAGTAATTTTAGTCTGTCACTCCTAGCATAGTTCGAGTTTGAGAAACAAGTGATTATTCTAATTTATCAATCTTCCCTCTTTTGAGCATCGACGTGTGGAAATATCTGTGTGGAGTAGAATGAACACGTTTATAACCTGGCAAATTCAGCTTCGAGATGCTGGCTGTCATGTGACCCAGTCAGGTTGCCTGACTCCCCTGTGGGATCAGCTGGTTTTCCTCACTGTGAGAAAAAACAAAAACAAACAAACAAACAAAAAAAAACACTGAGGATAATCGGCTTAAAGGAATTAGAGTTTATTTGGCCCACAGTTCAGAGGTTCTGATCAAAGCTGGGTGGGCACATTGCCTTCAAGCTCGTATCAGCACAATAGATCGTGAAGTGGTTCTGTTTTTTGTTTGTATCTATTTATTTGGTTTTTTTCTTTTCCTTACCCCACCCCACCCCTTGTTTTTTTGAGACAAAGTTCTGTTATGTAACCCAGCTGTCCTGGAACCCACAACCCTCCTGCCCTGCTTCCTTGATGCTAGCGTAGACCAGGAACCTGGCTCAACACTGTATGTATAACAGAAACATGTAGCAGGGTCTCTGGTCTTCTCACAACAGCTGGGAATGGGGAGTAGGAGGAGGATGCTAGAACCTCCTTCAAGAGCACACTTCCAATGGCCGAACTTCCCTTCACTGGACCCCACTTCCTAACAGGTCCACCACTATTTTAGACCTAGCAGCTAAGGTTTCAATACACGGACATGTGGGGAATGTCCTTATGTGGGTTTCTTCATCAGTTATTATGGACCATTGTCAAAAATCAAGTTTCCCCGGGTCTTGGAGCAGTTAATGTATTTCAAGGAGCATAGTAAGGGTACAGTGCTGGCCACTGGGGTTATTATCAGCGGGAGAAAGACTGGAAATGAAGGAAGTTTCTAGACTTTTAGTTGACCCTTCAAATCACTCATGCTACGTCAAGAAAGGAACAGATGTTTCCCCCCTCCACGGGCCCAAAAACCAAAGATTTTTCTCTCAATAGTTTAGAAGGAAAAAAAGAGAAGGAGTTCCATTCTTTTAATCTTTTTACACTTATTTATTTCCGGAGGAGAGCACATACAACACAGCAGTCATGTGGAGCACAGATGACTCGCCAGAGTTAGTTCTTTCCTGATCTACCATGTGACCCGAGGAACTGGACTCAGGTCATCCGGCTTGGCACCCTTACCCACTAAACCAGCTAACTGGCCCCCTGAATTCTTTTTTTTTTTCTAAATTGCAGCAATAGTATTTAATATTTGCAAATCCTTGTGAGCATTGTTTTATTAATTACACTCCAAAATGAGTCTCCAAGCAAGTCAATAACTTTATGAGCCCAATTCATACAATTCAAACCAGCTATTTAGAAATCTCCTGTGTAATGTTAGTTTCTGCCTACATCAACATATTTTGCTTTGAAATATTCGGGGCTTTTGTTTGGTTTTTGGTTTTTGGTTTGGTGGGGTGTGGGTAGAAACGGTTCCTCTGTGTAGTCTTGGCTGACCCGGAACTTACTCTGTAGACTAGGCTAGCCTTGAACTCAGAGATTCACCTGCCTTTGCCTTTTAAGTGCTGGGATTAAGGGCCCCCAAACTGAAATGTTCTTGATCAGAATCACAACCCAAAATGATTCACATATTCATTAAGATATAAGTCATATGCCATAAAATTCATTCACTAAGATTATCTTTTTAAAGAGAAAAATTTAATACATATTTAATACTCTTGGTTGGTTGGTTGGTTGGGTGTTTTGTTTTGTTTTGTTTTGTTTTTTGTGACAGGGTTTCTCTGTGTAGCCCTGGCCTCACTGGAGCTCACTCTGTAGACCAGGCTGGCCTTGAACTCAGAGATCCTCCTGCCTCTGCCTCTTAGTTAAAGTACTGTGACTAAAGGCACGAGCTATTGTCATCCAAACTATATCTAATGCTCTTAAAGCTTGTGTGCTTGGAGCCTTCCTTGCATGTCATAGAACCACGAACCCTGTATTTTCTGTGTTCCCATTCGAGATAGAGGGTTCTGCCTCTCAGATATTTAATTGCTAGCACAGCGGGGGCAATCATAGGCTTCTTTGTATTTCTTCAAGTACCTTGCTCTGCGGGGTGAAATTGGAGCTGGAACTCTGTAGTTGCATGATTGCTAAGAACATGAGGTGCTACATCAGTGATCCAATTTAATCTTCTCAAGCCCGCTGAAGGAAGTACTATTGTTATTACCATTTTTGCAGATGAGACTAGCAACAGTAACAAGTAACCTAGGTTACTTATAAAAGCAACAAAATCAAGATTTAGGACAAAAGAATCAGCACAGAGGTTAAAAAGATGAGCTGTGACTTCAGGTAACCCAGAACACAGGTGACCTTAGATACACTCCTGAAACTCCTTACTGTCATTAGATGACATAGACAATCAAAAGAAAGGATAAAGATCACCCAGTCACAAGCCAGCCTCAGTATATTTCTCTAAATGTAATTATTAGCTTCATGTAAACTCTTATAGATTTACAGATTATAAATGTATGTGCAGCTAAGATTTATAATCATGTATAATTTATGATAGTTATTTATCGAAGTGAAATGGTGTCTTAGTCATAATTTTTGTTTGTTTGTTTGCTTGCTTTTGAGACAGGGTTTCTCTGTGTAGCCCTGGCTGTCCTGGACTCTCTTTGTAGACCA